TGAATAATATTTATATTAATTCATAATATTTAAAAAAAATTAAATGTTAATTTTAGTCCCTTAATTTTAGAATTTTATATAATTTCCGTCTTTCAATTTTTTTGGCACTTTTTTAATCCTCAATTATAAAAAAATATTTTTTAATTCTTCTATCAGTTAATTTGTTAAATCTATTTAAATATGTTAATTTTTAATCCATTAACTTGTAACACATGCACATTTTTAATCTCTTAATTTAAAAGTTTAGGAACTAAAAATGTGTATATATATACTTAACAAATTAATAAGCGAAAAGATTAAAAAATACATTTTTTATAGTTGACTAACTAAAAAAGTACATAAAAAAATTGATAGATGAAAATTGACTAAAATTCTAAAGTTGAGGCATCCAAATTGACATTTAACCAAAAAAAAGTAAAAGATAAAAAAAAATTTATGATTAAATAATTAATTAAAATAAATAATAATAGAGTTAAAATAAAAAAATATTTATCTATTTTAAAAATAAAAAAATAATAATTAATTTAAAATAAATTTAATATTAAAAAATAACAATTATTTTAAAACAAGACAGATAAGTAAAAAGAAGCCCCCAATCGATGTCATGAACAGTTGCTGTGCTACCTCCGTCGGATCTTTATCTCTCCTGATCTACACTGACCACGTGGCAACAAAGTTAGGGGAAAGGGGCAGGTAATATTAATCTGCCTCTCCCCTATAAAACTCCCACCCACCAATCCCACCACAAACGTGACTTACAGTTTAGAGTTGGAGTTGCCTGTACCTGTACACTCTGGTAAGAGTTCCCAACGTATGCCCTTACCCACCACGCATATGCCCCGAATGCTCGTCGTTTCATCTTTTCGCGAAAATTATATTCCTCACATCCCCCAATTGTTCCATCTCCAAAGACGATGTTCTTAGGACAGAGAGAGTGTGTAAAAAAAGTACCCAATCAATGACTAATTACAACGAACCAATTGTTAAAGAGATATTTTTGAAGAATTTCAAGGAACAAAAGAATACTAGTTGTATTCAATCATGACAATTTTAGTACATTAGTTAGAGTAATATATTTATATTGATACATATTTCAAATCTTATAATTTAACCTAAAATCATGGAATATTACGTTGCTAGACCATTACTTTTGTTTATCCTGGATTTGTGCTCTTAGCTTGATTATGATTTACTTGGTTTCTATAATAATGATTTCAGCATTCATAGTTTCCTTGTTTACTTTCTTGCCTGATTTTTTACGTAGTTTCCTTCTTTGCTTTCGCGCCAGATTTCTACAATATTAATATTTGTGACTTTCCTTTCAATTTTAAGAAACAAATTGGCTTGCTCTATTTAAGTAGACTTGTGGGAAAACTTACCAGGCGTAGACGGTCCACGTATATCAATTTGCAATTAACTATCACCCTTTTACCTAGACCTAGCCACTGAGAGTTTGTCAATTAATGTTGAATAGTCAATAATAAGTACCTTTTGACAATAATGTAAAGAAGGGATCCAACTGCACACTTTAATTGAACGGTTGCTATCTCAAAATAGAAGGACGAGATCGTTAACTTACCACGATTGGCTTGCCTCCCCCGAAATCAAATTCCATCTTCTTATGCTTGCATACTTTTACCTGTCCCCAGTACCATAAACATTATGTTGCTCTTTGTATATTTTCTGTTATTTAATAATTAATATTTTTTTTCAGATCCAAACTTAGAAAAGAAAAAATGCAATTTGGTTACTATAAGTTGTAGTTTGAAAGTTGAGACAATATATGGTTAAAAGTTAAAACAATAGTTTAGTTCCATTAGATGGGAACAGTTTTTAAAAGATTAATTTCATCCTGATTTGTTGGATTGGATTTGAAGTTTTTATACCACAAATTCTGTACCTACTACGCAGTCTTTATCCCAACTTCATCATATGAACAAACAAAGAAAATAGAAGGTTTTTTTTTAAAAAAAAATTAAGAATATTTTTTAATATTAATTATTATTAAAAAACAAAAATAACTTTTATTTAATTAACTATTTAATTAAAATAATTCACATAACATAAATAATTAAATTAATATCTAATTTTATTATTTTTAATATTAAAAATATATTAATTATACTATTAATCTATATTTTTTTAAACATATTTACATTTTGAGAGAAAGAAGATTCAAATCTCAACTCTTAAATTGAGAAATGCACTTTATAATCCTATTTATAATCGTTCGACGATGAGATTTATAACCGTTCGCCGATGAGATCCTAGTGTATTATCAATCTATATCTTAAAAAATAATACCAGATAAACAAAACACTCTATAAATAATAATCCATATTTTTTCTTAAAGTATTACTAATTTATAAAAAAATTAAAAACACAATTATTATAAAATAAAGAAAGTGCAGAAGTAACGTCTCAATTGGAGACATAAAATATAGCATTGACTTAGACCTTGACCTAGACAAACAGACATATTTCATCGAAGAGCAATGCTAGGAACACTCGCCAGTTGCACTCTCCTACCAACACTTCCATTTTCATTGGGCCACGTTATGTTGGTTTAGGAGAGAGTCATCACTTCCTTGCTAGCAAAGCTTACGTGGCCCAATAAAAAAGCATGTGTTGGTTGGAGAGTGCAGGAGGCGAGGGTCCCTAGCACTGCTCTTTCATTGAATTGGCACAGCCTAAACGAGGAGACTGTTTTTCAATTTAATATAATGAGTATACTATAAACAATAGTACAGTACATGATTTTTTTAAAATATTAATTTAAAAAAATTAAAAACACAATTATTGTAAAAGAACGAAAGTAAAGGAAGTTACGTCTCCATGGGAGACATAAAATATAACATCGACCTAGACCTTGACCTAGATAAACTAACACTTACATTGAATTGGCACCCCTAAACGTGGGGACCCTTTTTCAATTTAGTAAGTATTTCTTTTTTCTTTTTTTTTTCTTTTTTTTTGAGCAAGCTTCGCCTAGATCCACCCTTGGTTAATTATTTTTGAATGAAAGTGAAATATGTATAGTATTATTTTATTTTATTTACGATCATATCACACTCAATTTATTTTTAAATAAAATTAGAATGTAAGAGCAAGGATTGGCTATGCCGGCAGTTTAATCGGTCCAATCAATTGAACCAAAATCAATTGTGAAAACGAATAGACCACTGTTTGATTTTAAAAATATTAAATTTATTTTTATTGTTATTTTAAAATTTTTTATCTTTATTTTTAAAAGATAATATAAATAAAAAATATTATATAATTAAAATTATATTAAATTATATAATATTAATTATTAAATTATATAATATTAATTATTAAATAAAAATAAATTTTTTGATATTAAAATTGTTTTTTATATTTAATAATTTATATTTTAAAATCTACTATAATTTAAATTACAAAATGAAAAATAAATATAAGTAATAAGTGCATAAATGGCTGACTTGTGGAAGATCCAAGTTCATCTAACCCCATTACGCCATTTCTGAAACTATTGCTTATCAATTCCTCCTCCATCCTCTAATTTTGATATTAAATATATACTTATTCTATCTCAAAAAAAAATTATTATTGTTTTAAATTAATAATTTATAAATAATATTTGTATTTATTTATAATATTTTTTTTTAAAAAATTAAATATTAATTTTAATCTCTTAACTTTAGAGTTTTGTATAATTTTTATCCCTCAATTATGAAAAATATTTTTTTAATCATTCTATTAGATACTTCGTTAAATTTATTTAAATATATATATTTTTAATATCTTAATTTATAATATATGTATATTTTTAATCCTTAAATTTA